TGAGGAGAATAAGGCTCTGTGGAAGGATTTGGTTATTGGTCAGTTCTACCGACGCCTTCCCTCCTATGGGAAAATTCAGGCAGTGGTCAACCTAATGTGGAGTAAGTGGCACAAAGACATCTCGGTGACGAAGTTGGAATCTGCTAACTCCTTCCTATTCAAAATCCCTAACAACGCGACAAGAGAGCAGGTTCTTAGAGAAGGGATATGGAACATTGATGGGAGCACTATGTTTGTGGCGGCTTCGAGCCCAGGAGTAACCCCTGATATCCCTGCTCTGAGAACTGCTCCAGTTTGGATAGAGCTAAGGAAAGTTCCGTTTGAGTTCTATAATCCTCAGGCGCTTAGTCGCATTGCTAGTCTTGTCGGTCACACCCTGTACTTTCACCCCCAGACGATAGCAATGACGAACTTTGAAGTGGCTAAGGTTTTCACTGAGATTGATCTCCTCCAACCTCTTCCTGAAACCATCTGTGCTCAATATGAATCAGGAGAAACTTGCAGAGTGGAGGTTTCATGCCCACACCTCCCTCCCATCTGTAAGATCTGCTCTGAACCTGGCCATACATCCAAGAGATGCACCCAAAATCCCATCGTTGGTGGAACTTCAGATCCCAAAGGTGCTCACTATGTTCCCTTGGCAACAGGAATACCTAATGGGAACACCCCCCCCCCCCAAGCTTGCTGATAAAAAAGAGGGTAAGAAGGTAATGGTCTTTGAGATCAATACTGACTTGGCTGAATCTTCAGGGGAAAGGGGCGGACAAGAAGATGCTGCTGAACAAGTCGTCTCCGATCCCCCACCCCAAGATAAGGAACCACCTGATATCTCCCCAGAAATGGAAGAGGAGGGAGAGTTCACCATTGTTGAATCTAAGAAAAAAAAGAAAAAGAAGAAGAAGGAAAGCAAGTGTAAGCAATCTCAGGAGGTTGCTCGTGTGGAAGGGCATGCCCTTCGCCGTCACTAAACCCTTTTTTGAAACCTTTTTGGAATGCTGATTTTCTATTGGGATGTAAGAGGGATCAATGATCCAGATAAGCAGCAGCGGTTTATTAGTTGGAGGCAGCAATATCGCCCCACTTTTCTTGTCTTGCAGAGACTCATGTTTTGGAACCCAACGCTGGTGGCATTTTAGCTTCTCTTCTGCCAGGTTGGAAATTCGAATGCAATTATGATTATGCTAATAATGGGAGATTCTGGGTTGTATGGGACCCGGCAGTCTCGGTTTTTGTTTATAATAAGTCCAGGCAGCAGATCACCTGTGGGTTTAGGTCGATGGTAAGAAACATTAACTTCACCGTTACTTTCGTCTATGCCTCTAACATCCGGGTAGAGCGAAGTGATTTGTGGCAGGAGCTGGCTGTTATCGGTTCTAATCAGTTAGTAAATTCCTCTCCTTGGCTCGTAGTTAGAGACTTCAACCAAACCCTCTATGCTACAGAGCACTCCCTTCGTGATGAGTTCACCAGTGTCTCAGCGGGAAGTCGGGAGATGGCCTCCTGTTTCTCCTCAACGGGTCTTTTTGATCTTCCTTTCCGTGGTCTCTTAGTCACGTGGTGGAACAACAGAGTTGCAAACCCAATTGCGGAGAAGCTGGATAGAGTTCTCGAGAATGATCAATGGGTCCTCAACTTCTCCTAGCTCAAGTTCGGTTTGAAGAGCCTCTGTTCTCCAATCATGCAGCCTGCTGTATTAGGCTCCCTGAAGAAGGCCCTAAAGTTCGAAGACCTTTTAAGTTTAACCTGCATTTGGTTGATCACCCTCGTTTTATCCCTACTGTTCAGGAGGCTTGGTCTGGTTTCTCGGCATCTAGCTCTAAAATACATGCCTTCAGTCAAAATCTGAAGTTCCTGAAACGGGTCCTCAAGAACCTCGATCATTCGGCGTACTCCGATATCCAGCAGCGGTCGAAAGAGGCCCTTGAAGCTCTGAAAGTCGCTCAAAACTCCTTGCTTTCGTCTCCTTCGCCCAAGGAATGTTGACAGAACAAGAAGCCCTCAAAAAATGGATGGAGTTGGCTAAAGCCGAAGAATTTTTTTTGAAGCAAAAAATCGAGAGTCAACTGGCTTAAAGTGGGTGATCAGAACTCGACATTCTACCACCGCTGTATGGCTCTGAGGACTGCAAAAAAACAAAATGGTTAGCCTCTGCTTAAATGATGCTACGATTCTTACAGATCTCCCTGCTATCAAGGAAGAATGTGTGAATTTTTACTTGAATCTGCTCAGTCCTCCCAGAACATCCAAACCTTCATTGATCAGCTTTATTTCCTCTGTTCTCCCGTTCGGATGTAGTGAAGCCCAACATTGTGCGTTAGACAGAATGTTCTCTGATGCAGAAATCAAAAAGGAATTCTTCTCTTTACCTAAGGGCAAGGCTCCAGGCCCTGATGGTTTTACTGGGGAGTTCTTCAAAAGCTGTTGGGATATCATAGGTGAGGAAGCAACCCTTGCTGTGTTGGAAAGTTGGAGTTTTTCGATTCTGGAACTCAACAATTATTTCCGTGGTTCCAAAATTCCAGAATGCTGAAAATCTTAGTGACTACAGGCCGATATCTTGCCTGAATGCAGTTTACAGAGTGGTCTCCAAACTTCTAGCTCGGAGGCTCAAAAGCATTTTGTCAAAAATGATCTTAGAGAACCAATCTGCGTTTGTAAGTGGTCGTCAAATAGTTGAAAATGTGTTGCTCGCCTCAGAGATGGTTCAGGGATACAACAAACCAAACATCTCCCGCCGTGGCATGCTTAAAATTGATCTAAAAATTTAACTCTGTGGAGTGGTCCTTCATCATTGATACTCTTAAGGCAACAAACTTCCCTTCTCGGTTCATCAAGTGGGTGTAACAATGCCTTTCCACTATGATATTTTCTGTCTCGGTAAATGGTGAGTTATGTGGTTACTTCAAAGGTACACGGGGTCTCCGTCAGAGTGATCCGCTCTCTCTGCCTCTGTTTGTTATCGGTATGGATGTTCTCTCCTGCATGATCAGGCTGATATACTCCCTTGGCCTCATTGGTGCTCACCCACACGCTTCAAACCCTTGAGTCTCACATCTTGTATTCGCAGATGACATGATGCTTTTCTTTGATGGTACTCTCCCCTCCCTTAATGGCATCGTAAATCTCCTGAATTACTTTGCAGAAATCTCTGGTCTTACTATGAACAACAGCAAATCATCCTTGTTCCTTGCTGGAGTCTCTTCATCGGAGCAAACTTCTATTTCGGCTGGTTTTGGGTTTTCAGAAGGAACTCTCCCAGTTAAATACCTTGGTCTTCCTCTACTCCTGCGGAGACTCAAAAAAACTGACTGCCTTCCTCTAATGGAGAGAGTGAAATCGAGACTCCACTCCTGGACTTCGAAGCACCTTTCTCTTGCAGGCCGCAGACAGCTTATCTCTTCGGTGATCCAGAGCCTTATTGCCTACTGGTGTGCCGCCTTCATCCTTCCAAGCAGCGTTATCAAGGAGATCAACAAGCTGTGCCGTTGTTTCCTATGGTCTGGTGATCCAGACTCCTCGAAAAAGGCAAAAGTTAAGTGGGCTCAGGTCTGCTCGCCTAAGTCTAAAGGAGGCTTGGGTCTTCGTGACTTGGCTTCTTGGAATAGAGTGTTTGGCAGCTTTTCTCTAATGCTGGTTCTCTATGGGTGGCATGGTGTAAGGCAAACAAACTCAAGCGTAATTCATTTTGGGCCCTTTCGGATTTGAGCCAAGGTACATCAACTTGGTTCCAACTCCTTAAGCTGAGGCCGCTGGCTTTTGATTTCATTGCTTGCAAGCTCGGAAATGAGAATGACAGCTTCTTATGGTTTGACTCATGGACTCCTTTTGGAAAAATTTTGGATTTCATTGGCCCGGGTGGTCCTACAACCTACGGGATCCCCCTTGACTCCAAAGTCGCTGCAGTTGCTTCGTCAAACGGGTGGAGGATTAGGAGCGCGCGTAGTGCAAATGCTGAGTCCCTGCTAATTCACCTTACCACGGTCCATCTCTCGGCTGGGGAGGACACCTTTCAATGGAAGAAAGGAATCAGAGCAAAAATGGACCGGTTCAGCTTCGCCAAAGTTCGATCTCAGCTTGCTGTAACTTCCCCTGATGTTCAGTGGCACTCCGAGGTCTGGTTCTCCGGTCATGTCCCTAAACATGCGATGACTCTTTGGCTCTCTTGTTTGGACAGACTCTCGACTAAGTCCCGGCTGGCTTCCTGGGGAGTTATTCAGGATAGCATCTGTGTCCTTTGTGAGATCTTTGAGGAAACGAGGGACCACCTCTTTACTCTTTGCCCTTATGCCCGTGATGTTTGGAGACTTTGCTTCCTTCGTTTCAATGCTCCTGTGCTGGACTTCAACTCGTGGTCAACCTTTGAGGTCTGGCTCAAGTTTCCCATGGAGAGTGTGGCTGAGAAGAAGCTCAAACTTCTTGCAGCTCAAGCTGTTGTCTACTCCCTCTGGCAGCAGCGTAATGATAAAATCTTCAGTAACAAACAGATATCTGCTGGGGGCTTTTCAGGATCGTGGATCGGCGTGTGCGTGATGCTTGCCTGACGAGAATGCGTCTTCCTAGCTTCCAGGATTGTCTGAGTCTTTTTTTCTTCCCTTAATGTAACTCTTCCATATTAGTATCAATATAAACAAAAATTTTTTTTTAAAAAAATGTTTTCTCTAGCTCCACTAAGTTGCTGCCATGTCAGCTTCCAAACAAATCTTCGTTCTCCATTCAGCTTGCTCCACATTATCTCGAGCTTAACTGTATTTCTTCCCGCATTGTGATCTTATGTATGTCACACAGGTACACTTCATATCTCAGCTCCATAATATGGAGAACATTTTCTTCATAAACATAGAAACTCATCCGTTGGGCTTAGAATTGGGCTCGAAGGAGACCATAAATCTAATTATTAGTTTTATTGGGCTTGGAAAACCGCACAGGCGTGAACAATATCTTTCGCACGTGCCACTGCAAGGCGCCAAAGCCAAAGAGGAGGAGAGAGAGAGACACCATATCCTCCCGTTATCGTCATCTTCTTCACCTCCCCGAATCCAATTTCTAAACTCTCCTCAGAGAAGCAAAAGCTCCTGCTCCTTACGCATATTTTCGCTTCGTCTCATTTCTCACCAACTTTCAAAAACTGGCTGTACTGTTTCCATTTGTTTTGTCCCCTTGTTCGTTCTCTCGCTGAACCTAATCAATTCAACACCATGGACGTCGCTGAAGTTCCATGGCGTCGTCTTCCTCAATTTCCCGTATCTTCGCGCGCCTCGTGGCTGGTTTCCTCTGGGATTCCTGTTTCTTCGTGAGTTCGTTTTCGTTGAGGCATTTCAGCATACACTTTGTCTGTGGCTTGATCTCATTTCTTAATTTGCTCTAAATTGAAAAATTGAATCTTTTTGATTTATGAATTTACTGTGGAGATGGGTTTTCTTAGATGCACGCGTCTTGTTCTTTATCGGCTCTGGTTTGGAGTTGTTAGAGCTTTAACCGAGAGTTGGAGTTGTCACTTGATCTTCCTTTTTCTGCCATTGCACCTGAAAATGGTTAATAGAGCTCTAAATCTAAATGGTGCTAGGATGAAGATTTCATGCAGCTACGCTTGTTCTGAAGAATTTCATGTTTTTGCGTGTCTTTACTTTCTTCTGGTGGTGTCAATTACTTAAGTATATTATTCCTGAACTCAATTCATGATTGATATATGGATATTTTAGACACAGCAAAGATTAGAGGGAAATAGTAAATGCTACTTTGTGCTAACCTGGATTCTCTGTCGTTCAATAGATATATGTTCTCTCATATAGAGCGTGGAAAGAGGTTTAGGCTAACCTTGTGCTTTGGGGTCTCTCGTCTTCGCGCAAGGTCTGCTATTATGAGTGCACAACAAGGTACATGGGAGAACAAAACTTTGTTTAAGAACTTTCCTGCTGTGTTCTCAGTTTATGCCTTTTCTAATGCCCTTATGGAAAATTCAGTTGAGTCATGCCTCCACTTTCGAGATTTCTGTCTTTGCATTTTCAACTACTGAGATTTTTCTTTTTTCTTCATCCTCAGAACAGCCAGCTAGTTTTCGTAAAGGATTATGCGAGGTTGTTTGGATCGTGGAAGCTGATCTGGCACCCAATGAGCATCTCTACGTTACTGGAGATCCTTCCGCTTTAGGTAGCTGGGAGCCAAATTGCGCGATTTCAATGTATCCTACTGGAAATGATAATGAATGGGAAGCTAAAGTCAAGGTAATCCATTCATTTGTTTCAGCCATAGCAAAAACATAACTAGATATGTATCTTATTTACATTAAACATTTGAATGTTAAATCGTAGCATTAAAAGGACTCACACTCTTTCTGGAAAGTGAGTTTGTTTGTATTGTTTGCTTATAACTTAATATGCTTGGCAGATTGCTTCTGGTGTAAATTTCAGGTATAATTATTTTCTTAAAGCTGGATACGGATCTTCATTTGATGTCATCTGGAGACCAGGGCCCCAATTTTCGCTATCAGTTCCTTCTTCTGTTAATCGCGAAAGAAAAGTAATCATAAGGGATTCGTGGATGAGTGTTTCATCTGAATCACAAGAATCCTATGTATGGGGTTCTTGGATCAATGATGCTTACCTTTTACCAAATCATGTTACGTCAGCTCAAAGCGAAGGTAACATCTCTGTGGTTTCTCCTCTTTCAGTCTCTTTTCATCCTTTGCGAAATATCTTAAAACTCAAATACTTCCAGTGGTTTGGCAGATGAATGCACTTCCGCAGATAGTGCTATAGAAGTCCCAAGACCACTATTGAGTGATAAACATATAGAAGATGAATCTTTCTTCTGTGATGAGCTTGCAACCTTTTCGTCAGAGAACTCAAACTTTAGTGCGTTATTTTCTGACAATTATCAGCCTATTGAGGAACCGTGGTTTCTTCAGGAATCTATTACCTTGCAACATGCAAGGAATATGCAGACTGATAGCGAACAAGCTGTTGAAAGCTGTGACGACATTGAAAACAACTTAGACACTGATGAACAAAATCACCAGCTGACAGAGACTCTCTTACCTGATGATGAAGTTTTTCAACCAGAATCCATCTCTACTACGATACTGATCAACTCTTCTGTATGTACCGTGCAAAGGATTGCTGTATTGGAAGGTGAAAAGCTGGTTGAGTTATTGTTGGAACCAGTTAAGACCAACGTGCAGTGTGATAGTGTTTACCTGGGCGTAGTCACTAAGTTTGTGCCCCATATGGGTGGTGCATTTGTGAATATAGGTAGTGCTAGACATTCTTTCATGGACATTAAGCCAAACAGGGAACCATTCATATTCCCTCCATTCTGTGATGGATCAAAGAAGCAAGCAGCTGATGGTTCTCAGTTCCTCTCCACAGTCGACATTCCAGCTTCTCATGGAATCGAACATGCCTCCTATGACTTTGAAGCCAGTAGTTTGTTAGACATTGATTCAAATGACCCTGGGGAATCTTTCCATGATGATGACGATGATCATGAAAATGATGAATATCATGTCTCTGATGCTCTAGCTGGACTAGTTAATGGAACTGTAGTGAACCATGGCGAAGTGGACGGTGGTTCTGAAAAATGCAATCAAGGAGATGAGCGACATCTTGAAGTTGGATCTGAGAATGGCTTTGTTCCTCTGGAGAGAGAACCCTCTGCAGATTATCTCGTTTCTAATGCATCAGTTGCAAAAACTTCTAGGGATAACAAGTGGATTCAAGTTCGGAAAGGCACCAAGATAATTGTGCAAGTTGTTAAAGAGGGCCTTGGTACGAAAGGTCCAACTCTTACTGCTTACCCGAAACTGAGAAGCAGATTCTGGGTATGTCATGTGTCCCGTCAGTCTTGTCCTTTAGGTTCTTATTATTCTATTTTCTGAATCATTTTTTTCCTCATAGGTATTAATGACTCGTTGCAAACGAATTGGAGTGTCGAAAAAAATTTCGGGAGTTGAGAGAACCCGGTTAAAGGTTATAGCAAAAACATTGCAGCCTCAAGGTTTTGGCCTGACAGTAAGGACTGTAGCCGCTGGCCATTCTCTAGAAGAACTGCAGAAAGACTTACAAGGTCTGCTTTTGACCTGGAAGAACATTACAGAAGAAGCAAAATCTGCGTCCCTTGCTGCAGATGAAGGTGTGGAAGGAGCCATTCCAGCGTTGCTACATAGAGCAATGGGTCAAACACTTTCAGTTGTACAGGACTATTTCAATGACAAGGTATTTAGGCCCTTGGCCATATGTACCTCCTCTGATTTAGGCTCTAATGGTTATTGGCATGTCAAGTGACAGTAAGGTCTTGTTTTTTTTAGGTTGAGAATATGGTGGTTGACTCTCCCAGGACATACCATGAGGTACATTGCTTCCATTCTTCTTAAGTGCATTTTTAATTATACTTAGTGAATAGTGTGCTGAAGCTATCCCTGTCGTAAACAATTATCTTATTACCCTCATACAAATATTGATTAATGCTCATGTTAAAGCTACAGTTACATGTGTCATTTCTTTTCTTTCTGTACCAACTCTTGCACTTGCAGATAATTAAACGTTTGCCATATTCTAGATCGGCTTAACTAACTGGTATATGTTTCCAGGTCACAAGCTACTTGCAGGATATGGCACCTGATCTTTGTGCTCGAGTGGAATTGCATGATAAGGGTATCCCTCTTTTTGATTTATACAACATTGAGGAGGAAATAGAAGGAATTCTGAGTAAAAGGTAAGAAGTGGCTGACACTGCACTGTTGTGGAGTTATGACCCACCTTTCCTTCCCAGATATCTTCATGTAAATGATCTTTTGCCTCTTGCAGAGTTCCACTTCTCAATGGAGGTTCTTTAGTGATTGAACAAACTGAGGCGTTGGTCTCTATTGATGTGAACGGAGGACATGGAATGTTTGGTCAGGGTAATTCACAGGAGAAAGCTATTTTGGAAGTTAACCTTTCTGCTGCCAGACAAGTATGTGATACATTTTGGCTGCTAAATTTCATTCGTCAAACTTTTGCGCCTCTGAAAAGTATCGTAATAATTATTCTACACAACGTCATGAGATCAGATACAAGCCCAGTTATGTGTTTATGAATTATCAGATTGTTACTGAAAGCCTTAGGAAAATTTAACATGAAGAAAGAGTAGCAGTGCGAGCTCTGCTTGTATTGTGTAGTTTTCCTTGGAATTTACTCATGTCTTGCAATATGCTGCTATTCTTGCAAACCATTGATTAAGTAATGCTCGATGCAATCATGATTCAGATTGCAAGGGAGATTCGGCTGAGAGATATAGGGGGTATCATTGTGGTAGATTTCATCGACATGGCAGATGAATGTGAGTTAGAATGTCATTATTATTTGTTTAATCAAATTTTTAGAAATTGTAGATGGACAAATCCCTTTCTTTAATGATGGATGTCTTGTATATTTACTTTCAGAAATTTGTTCTTTTTTGTGTTTCAGCTAACAAGAGACTCGTTTATGAAGAGGTTAAGAAAGCAGTGGAAAAAGATAGGTCACTGGTTAAAGTCTCAGAGCTATCTAGACACGGACTCATGGAAATAACAAGAAAAAGGGTATAGTCCGAACTTTTAATCTTTCTATAAAGCTTCTACTCAAATCCTTTGGTTTATACTTATTGCAGTGAATCTTTTTCATCACAGGTTCGACCTAGTGTAACATTCATGATCAGTGAACCGTGTTCTTGCTGTCACGCAACTGGTAGAGTTGAGGCGCTAGAGACTTCCTTTTCAAAAATCGAACAAGAGATTTGTCGGCAGCTAGTGAGTGCATCGACTACACAAACTCGATTCTCTTTGCCTTTTTTTCTGTTACTTCTCTTTCCAACCAAATGTCGAAGAACATCTAGAATAATGCTCGTAGTTGTGGCCTACTATCTTTTGTTCTATGTGAAGATGTGTTAAAAATGTTTCAGGCAAAGATGGAGAAAAGAGGAGACCTGGAAAACCCCAAGTCTTGGCCAAGATTCATATTGCGTGTGGACAGTCATATGTCCAGCTTTTTGACTACAGGGAAGAGGACTCGGCTTGCAATCCTCAGTAGTTCCCTGAAAGTATGGATTCTCTTAAAGGTACCCTTCAAATCCTTCAGCATACTCGTTCTCCTATAATGTGATTCTCGACAGCTAGAAGTTTTGCATTGAAGAGGTTGTGTCTGATTATTAGTACAACTGAGGCACAAATTTCTTTTGTAGGTTGCTAGACATTTCACCAGAGGAACCTTTGAGGTTAAACCGTTCATGGATGAAAAGACGGTAAACGAAAGACAACATCAAGTTGCCATTTCACTGCTCAAGAAAGCTGACGCCATAGCAGACTCTTCAGGCAAGAAGAAGCTTACTCTTATTCCGGTTAAGAAGGAGAAGACCGGTGGTAAACAAAGACGATGAAGCTTTGGCATCACTTTTGCTAGTTTAGTGGTCTCAAATGATACAGTTCTTCATTGTACCGAATCGATTTTGTGTATCAATATTAATTCCTTTTCTCAGATTTTGCATTATAAAGAAACAGAACCAAAAAGGGCAAATTGCTGGTCTAAAAGTCGCAAGATGAAACAACAGTTAAGGAAAATACAAACAAGCTATGCTACAAGGACAAAACTAGAAACAAGTGGAACAAAAGATGGTTTAAACAACAAACAAAGGAGGAATCTAAGAGAGAGATCAAGTAGCGGCAACGTTGCAGGTCCCAACTCCATCTTTACAGTCGTTTGTAAGATCATTGAATGTTTCAATCTGCTTCTTCCCTCTCAAAAACACTTCTGTATCAACAGATGCTCTCATGTAACCATCAAACTCGACCGGGTTGCCTCCATTAAGCTTTGTGGTCTCTGAATACCACTCGCTACTCTCGTCCCAGAGATCCTTGTACTCGTCAAGAAAATGAGTAGCGTACTTATCTTTCAAAGGGTTAAAGAACGATGATTCCGCTTCATTTGTTGCGATGTAGAGATTCCTTCCTTCTTCTACTTTATCCTGCAACGTCGACAAGAGAGCACTCGGTGAAGTATCCTTCTCAAGATTAGGCCAAAGCTCAGTGTTTCTTGCTTTCTCTCCTCTCTCGATGTGTACTGCGTCGTAGTCCCAATTCAACCTCGACGCAATCGCAGACACAATCTCCATCAACCTTCTTGATTTCCACAACAGATGCCACGGTCTTTTCACAGCAGATTCCGCGTCTCCTTCGCAAACCCTGTACCAGTAATTATCCGGCTCCACCGACCCGAACTTCCTCATGATCAACGTATCTTTCACACCGGCAAGCTTCATCGGCGTGACTCTAAAGTCCTCCACGAGATGAAGAGTCAATCTATTCCTCCTCTTCTTATGCAACTTCCCCCACTGTCCCCAAAACTGAGCTTCGTCCAAGACTGAAGCAGCTTCTTTCAAATGCTCGAAATCAAAGTAAAACCGAAAGTCTTTCCCTTCCTCGTTCTGTCCAGACGAAGTGTAGATAGAAGACAAACACAGAGTCAAATCCATCACCAAAGTCCTGTTCAAATACTGTGCTTCACCAAGCGCACACAAGAAACTCCACAAGAAATGGTTCATGCTCTTGCACCTATCTCCACCACCTACATAAACCAAGTACTTGCCTCTCTTAAACGCGTTCTCAGACTCAACCATTGGAAGTGAATCATTCACTGCTTCACCAACCACAGGCAAAGAGAAATCGTCTCTCTTCCCGTCACTTTTCTCAAACCCAGCTTTCTGATTCCTCTTCCTCTTCCTCGCATTCAAACCAGAGTGATACTCACCAATACTCACCACACTAAGACTACAATTCTCAGACTTCTCAACCACAAACCTCCGATAATCCTTGTAAAACGCAGCACTCTTCCCGTCTTTGGGACGATAACGCCACGCCATGTCGCAAGAATTCGCGCCTTCACCAACCGCAGGCTTACCGAATTTGTAGAAATGAATGTCTTTAAACTTCTCAATCGTTGCTTTCATCATGAGATGGAAAACCTCAGAGTCTTTGCAATCAATGGGAATGCTCGAATCGCAATCGATCTGGTTTGACTCGGTGTTGTTCTCCTCCGTCGTGGATTCAACATCGGTGATGTTGATAAACGCTGCGAACGCGGTTTGGTTAGCCGGCATGAAGTCCTCGCCGGTTTTCACGACGGATTCGTCGGATCTCATCGTCGCGTTCGATGTCGAGGTGAGGAAGGTCGTGATTTTGTCTGATGGGTGGAAGAGAGGATCTTCTGGCTCGTATGTTGCAGCGATGATGGTGAAGACGAGTACTCCGAAGACGAACAACGAGAACCCAATGTTTCCGATTAGGTTTAGTGCGTTTTGACCTAAGTTCTCGGGACGGAAACCTCCGGCTCGAATCGCGGATCGGCCGAACATTGCTTCTTCCGATGAAAGAAACAAGGAAGAGAGATTCAGAGGTACAGATCCGGGAATGAAGATGAGAATGAGAGAGATTTCAAGGATGGGATCGGACCCACCTCGAGTTACGTCGGAGGATTTGTGAACTGAGTGAGTGGTACAGTGTTTGCTGGGGAAGACGATGAAACTGGAGCTGATACACCACCGACAATGGTAAAACTGTGATTTCGTGTGATTTGGTGGGTTCTTTGTGGAACCAATCAAAATTAAACAAATGTTGCTCTTTAAAAGTGGGGAAAAACTTCGTTTAAATCATGAATTTTGTCATTAGCATTGTTCAAGAAAGCTTGAGTCTACCGCTTAATGGGAGTTATAAACGATTTTTAACGATGTAGACGTTTAAACACTCTGAGGAGAGGATTTTATGTTTGAAGCACTATAAAGAGGCTTAGGTTTTGTCTTCTTTTAGATTCAATCAGAAGAAGGTAAGTTTGAGTAGGGAATTTTCTCCCGGTTGATTCACTTCCTCACAGTTCTGTGTTTATTGGTGTTAATCTTTGTAGTTTTAGCTTTGTCATGGTGGATGGTGGGTTGAGGTGCGTTTTGGTTTTTTTTTTCAAGAAGTTCATCAAGTTGCGCTTTTTCTGGCAAGGATTATTAGTTGGTTTAATGGTTGAAAAGCCATAAATGAAAAAAAAATTTACCTTGTCACATTTGAGTCTATATGTCATAAAGCATGTAATATTCCAAATTTACCCTTAATGAGAAGTGTTTATGTTATTAGTGATTTTTTCATGTTTAATTTTTTTTTGAAAATCGATTAAAATAAAAATTGAAAACCTAAAATTCAAAAACCAAAACCGATTAATTTCTGGATAGCTCGTGAACCGAAAAGACCGAAGTCAAAAATCTCTCCAGAAATCGACCGATAGATCTGCTCGAATCGAGATTCCGTCTGCGTTTATTTTTTTTCGGCGCGGTGCGCCGGCCTTCTCTAAACCTGTGTTGTTCGCCAAATCTCATTTCTCTGCCGTCATTTCGCAGTTAGGTAAACTTTTTCTACAGTTTAGGGATTAGGGTTTAGTAATTGATCGTTTTAGGTTGCATATTGGATAGTAGAGTGGCATATATATATATATAGGTACAATTAGGACAAATAGGACAAAATAATTTCTTAAAATTATGGAACCCTAAACAAATACAACCTATAACCTTAACTACTGTATCCTCAACGGCTACGCTTGGAACGTAAAATAAACCCATTGTTTTCTGAAAATAAAATAAATCATTTGTGTTTCTAATGAAATAACCTTATGGTATAAGGAATTCTTTGACAATGTTTTCCATCTTATAAGAGGCTAAACGTAAAAATATAGGAAATATAAAAGGATGGGCGTGAAACCCTTGGGGCAGGTATAAAATGTTCAAGGATTTGGGGGACAACTAAAAAAAAGGAATTCCTGTTAAAGGATAACTGAAAAAACTTAAAAATCAATTAAAAGACAATTATTCCAATTTTGGGACAACCGGACAACTAGGTACAACTATGATGTCATCGGAATATGCACGTGTGAGAATGGTGACTGAGAATAAAATTATTTGTTATTTTTCTCTTTCCTTTTCTTTTTGGTTGCCGTTTAGCGTTTTCTCTTTCATAGAAAAGGGTCAAAGGGTTCTTCTCCTTTTATTCTCTTTCCCAATTTTTTCCCCTAAATAGGTTTGTTAGAGTTTCCGCCGCATCATGGATAAATATCAGAAAGCCATCGCGAAATTAGATGAAACAAAAAATGATGACTCTTCTCCTGTCTTGCCTAAGAAGGATTATGGGATGACCACTAGATGGGGACCTGAAGTCAATGGAGTCAGGACCATTCTGCCATGCCCTGTACAAAAGGGAATTCCAAAGGTTTGCTACTGCGGCTTAGCTCCAATTGGGTGTTTAACTGACAACTCCGCGCTGGACAGGGGCCGGAAATATTATGGTTGCTTCTACGGTTGTTGTGGCCCAAAAAACTTCCCGGAAGTAAGTGTTGGAGTTAATTTTGATTTGTAAATTAAGTATCATCTGAATTTCTGAGTTTAGGGTTTTCAGGTTCCTAATTGTGGCTTCAAAAAATGGTGGGATGTCGCAATACTCAAAGGGATTGAAATGCTCAATGAGACTCAAGAGGCCATGCGGGCTTTGTTTGACACTGTTTTCTCCAAGTTAAACCAGTTGGAGTCAAAGGTGGCATCCCTTGAGGCAGCTATAAAAAAGAGTTAAGGTTGAAGAAGATTTTCAGTGTCTTATTTACCTGTTTTTCCCCTTTTATGTTATGTTCCTACACTCCTTTGTTTTATTTAGAACTATTTTTCTTTTTATGAAGTCGCTCATGTTATGTTTCCTATCTGTTATCCTCAAATTGTGCCAGTTCTCCTAAATAAAACTACGAAGTTGTACTAGTTGTCCTGAAAAAATCAACGATAAGATACCAGTTATCCTAAATAAAACACACTAAGTTGTACCAGTTATCCTAATAAAACGTATTTAGTTGTACCAGTTGTCCTAATAAAACACAAAACATAATGTTGTACCACAGAGAAAAACACATAATCTTAAACATAAACAAGACATTCTACTTCTTGGCTTTCTTATTTTTTTCCCGCAGAAGTATAATGCGACTTCTTGTACTGTGACTTTTCCCTGGGCTTCTTAGTTCCACCTCTACTGGCTTTTGATGAGGATGCTTCTGGTGGTGGTGCGCATCTTGAGGCGGATGCAAGTGGTGGTGCAGTTGATGGCCGAACATCCCAATACACCTGGTGAAGGACTAACTGCTCAAGCGTCGCCACTCTTTTTTTCTAAAAGACCCATGGTAGCCTTCAGCTTCAACAATGATGTCACCTAAGGTGCAGGTATTTGAGGAGTGTCGGCTGTGATTCCACCCCGATGTTGAATATCTAACTCATACAAAGATCTTCAAAAGGTGTTCTTTTTTTTCACCATGAGATGATGCATCCAATCCTCAACACCTACATCAATGAGTCATATCCCATCATCATAGCCAGGATCTATTATCTGACGCAATATTTTTTCTTCACCCGAGTCTGCAGGCTTCAAGATGCTATGAATGTCTTGGCAACATAAACAAAGACAAATTATTGATCCATCTGTAACAACAAAACGTATAGTTGTACCAATTTCCCTAGTTGCCCTTTAACCAAAACAAAAGAAACATAGTTGTACCAGTTGCTCTAGTTGCCCTTTAACCAGAACAAAAGAAACATAGTTGTACCAGTTGTCCTTGTTGCTCTTTAACCAAAACAAAAGAAACATAGTTGTACCAGATGTCCTAATTATCCCATGACCAATAATCTTTAATATTGTTTAGTTGTACCAGTTGTCCCTAAACCATTACCAGCAAGTCAAACATAGTTGTACCCTATTGTCCCATAACCAAACTCATCAAATACTAACCTTTGCACTTGTTACAATTGCTGCGTTTATATCATGTAATGGAATGCTTTTCATGTATACATCGGTGAACTTGTGCTTGCACATCCTCGGACAGTCTTTCTGCGCAGGTACAGCTTCTCGGAATTTGCAGCCAAGGCTAGGAATACACTCAAAAGCAAGTATCTACACAAAAATTCAAAAAATTAAACCCTAAATTATTTAGATAAATTAACTTCTATAAACTATTGACTGAGAATTACTTGTAGAGGAAGAATAAAACCAGACAAGGGACATTCTGTTTTTTTGTCTTTGATGCTGCCATTATACTTTGCCATCACACGCCGGATCTCCTTCATCATGTCATCGAATGTGTAACGCCCCCAAGGAAATGATTTACACACATTCAAATCACTGACAACTCTGAGCAAGAACGGATCAATGTTACCATCAGTCTTGTATTTCGCCTTCACTACCTTGCATAAAAACCAGAGGAGAGCCATTTTCTTCCTGTCCACAGAGGTATCCTTCATTTCTTTTAATTTTTCTTCCACATCCGCAATCTTGATTTTATCCGCCCTACCAAAGTGCTTCTCAACAAACTTCGTGTTCCCCAAATTGTTGTAGTCAGCCAGGTAATCACGACAGTCAAATCCATTCAAAAGCGCATGCTCTCCCAGAGAATACCTTATTGGAACTCCGTTAACAACAAACCAGCACTCACTAAGCCTTTCAGTATGAGCAATGTGAAGGAGAAGCATCCACAATCCTTGATTTATGTGGTTTGGCTCCTTGAACATGTGAAAAATGTGGTTAAATTGAGGATTCACTCTGAACCATGCTTTCTCCTCATCAAGCTTATCAATCTTGTCCACAACTGCTCTAACTGAGCACCTTGTCAATATCCTACAACCCTTGCTGTACTCGGTTGGACCGAAGTAAAGCTTCTCAGGCACCATCGGTTGACTACCATAATCGACATCCTGAAATATAAACAAGAAACACAATCATATCAGATTTAGTTGTCCCAAGTGTCCGCGTGTTATCTAATTCTGTTAAACTAAGTTGTACCAATTGTCCCTGTTGTCCAACAGTTGACCAACACAAACATTCATCAAACACCGTTATCCTAGTTGTCCAACGACCAAACATAATATCATCAAACACAGTAATCCTAGTTGTCCTAGTTGTCCAAATGCCAAACATAATTTCGTGCAAATAGTTATCCTAGTTGTCCTAGTTGTCCAACGACCAAACAAAATTTCGTGCAAAGTATACTTACCTCTAAATCTTCATCTGCCTCTCGACATCCTCTTCTTCCGCTGCATTTTCTTCCTCTTCATTTCCTTCTTCTTCATTTCCTTCCTCTCCTTCTCCCTCGTCATCTTTCTCGGGTGTCCCCCCCTCCCTCTTCGTCTGCTTCTTTCTCGGATTCCTCTTCTCCACTATCTTTCTTGGATTGCTCATCCTCGACTTCCTCTTCTCTTGTTTCCTTCTCGGATTCCTCTTCCTCGGCTTCTTTCTCTGATTTCGCTTCCTAGCCTTCTCTTTTTGAAGCCTCATCCTCAGATACATCTCCCTAGCCTTCTTTATGGGATTCTACCACACCCGCTTCCTTGACTACTGTATCTGCTAAACCCTCTTTCTCAGGTTCTTCACGAGATTCCAACCGCTCCTCTGGTTGATCCGTCGCACCATCGTCCGTGGGTGTTGGTGCGGATGCAGGGGCGTCTTTGGTGGTTTCCGTACCAGCTGGGTCTGCTTCCATCGTGATATTCTTCTCTCGAGTTTCTTCATGGGTTTTTTCTTCA